CTGGGAGCAGGGGGTGGGGCTTGTTGCATGTGCCCACCCCCTGGGCTCTTTACTGCCGGAGCTCCACTCCTGTGCACTCCTGCAGGAAATGACCCCTGGTCATACTGAATACCAGAATACTAATCCATGATGATGATGCTTCTTCCAATGACTACCATGGAGAGAGGTCACAGCAGAAAACTGGCCCACAGAGTTGCTGCTAATGTGAGAAGAGCTACAGGGTAGTGAGAGGAAAGCCTGCTCCTCACCAGTTTGTTGTTCATGAGTACCCTGGAGTAAGGGTTGCTAACCTTAGGTGAGGCCTGGAGTTTTCCAAAAATCACAATCGTTCTCCAGTTCAGACTACAGAGATCTGTTCCCCTGGCGGACATGACAACTTTGGGGGAGGAAGAACTCTATGGCATCACATCCCTGCTGTGCTCCCTTCCCCAAGTGTCGCTCCCAAACCTCCAGGGATTTCCCAAGCCTGGGAGCAGGGGGTGGGGCTTGTTGCATGTGCCCACCCCCTGGGCTCTTTACTGCCGGAGCTCCGCTCCTGTGCACTCCTGCAGGAAATGACCCCTTGTCATACTGAATACCAGAATACTAAACCATGAGGATGATGCTTCTTCCAATGGCTACCATGGAGAGAGGTCACAGCAGAAAACTGGCCCACAGAGTTGCTGCTAATGAGAGAAGGGCTACAGGGTAGTGAGATGAATGCCTGCTCCTCGCCAGTTTGTTGTTCATGAGCACCCTGGAGTAAGGGTTGCTCACCTTAGGTGAGGCCTGGAGTTTTCCTAAAATCACAATTGATCTCCAGTTCAGACTACAGAGATCTGTTCCCCTGGCGGACATGACAATTTTGGGGGAGGAAGAACTCTATGGCATCACATCCCTGCTGTGCTCCCTTCCCCAAGTGTCGCTCCCAAACCTCCAGGGATTTCCCAAGCTAGAGCTGACAACCCCATTCTGGAGTTGCTGCAGCTACTTGACTAGAGGCAGGGGTCATTTCCTGCAAGAGCGCACAGGAGTGGCGTTCTGGCAGTAAAGAGCCCAGGGGGCGGGCACATGCAACAAGCCCCACCCCTTGCTCCCAGCAGCCCTCAGTCAGAGCAAGAAGCAGTCAGGTAAATTGCAGAGCTCCCCCCGGCCCCCCGGTCCAAAACAGTCCAATGGCACCTTAAGACCAAGTTTTATTCAGGGACAAGCTCTCCCTCCTCTATGAGGGCAGATCTGCATGTCGTCGTTCCCCCCCACCCCCAATAGCTAGCAATCTAAAACAGTCCAGTGGAGCCTGAGCGGTGGGTGTTGCCTTCTGACACACTTCTGGTGATGTCAGGGGGTGTGGCACATGCAAACGAGTTATGCTAATAAGTTACGCTGATGAGCTCCTGCACCTCTTTTTCTACGAAATGACCCCTGACTAGAGGGATGAGGGATGGGGATGTACTGTTCTCCCCCCCCCTTTTTGCATTTTTGCTGTTCAGCCAGCCTTTCGCCCAACTATTTCATATTCTCAGAGTAAGGGACAGGCTGATGTTGCTGCCAATATAGCCTATGTCAGCTTTGGCCCCGCTCATTCCTGGCTGCAGATATTGAAAACTGAAATATACTGCACTGTCCGCTTTAAGATCGCATTGAATTTATCGTTGTGAGCCGCCCCCAGCCTGCTCGTGGGAAGGGCGGGATATAAATCAAAATAATAAATAAATTCATATAGTAAATAAATATCTCCCATTTGTACCAAACGGAGGGAGGGGACATCATACACCATCATGTGGTACCTTACCCATCCTCTTACCTTATGCCCCAAACTCAGTATGGAAAGGAGGTTGACTGACATTCCTGCCAGACCTAATCTGGTTCAGGCTGTGCAAAGGAGAAGTTACCCTTACCATTCTGCACAATAATTTGGTGGACCATAGGCCTTTCTCCTGATTCCTCCACACACTTAGGCCGAGTTCAGACTGGCAGTTTGAAGCGGGAGTGAGTTGTGGCAAAAAAGAGCCGGAACAAACTTTTTCGGGTTTTCCCGTTCCCATTGCAGCGACTGATGTGGGAGCACACCGGGAGGAGACGCAAGGGAGCGTTCACACTGTTGGCCCGGAGGCATGGTTGTAGGACGCGGCTTTCTTTTTGGCAATCTGGAGATAAACGCTTATGCACATATGTACATAAGTGCATAAGGAAAACATGGCTTTTGGCGTTCACACTATGTTGGTGCGGGATTGATGCAGGATAATCGTGCTTTCCAGGGTTTGCTACCACTTTCACCAGGTATCTTTTAAACTCGGGAGCGAAGCGTTGCAAGACGGGTTGAGTACGGGTGGGGAATGCTGGACAGATGTGCCTGTGTGAACGGCCCATTTAATCAGGTTGTGGAACATTTCTGAAACATGCCTATATCGGGGCAAACTGCCAGTCTGAACTCGGCCTTAGTTTGGATTAGAGATGGGTAAGTGGCAATATCAGTGCGATTTTGCTCCTAACTGCACACAGAGACTCATGCCTGGCCAGAGCAAAACCAGGCAAGAAAAAAAACACGAAGCCCATTTTAGTATGTTAAAAGTTATGTGGCAATATCAGTGCGATTTTGCTCCTAAGTGCACACAGAGGCTCATGCCTGCCCAGAGCAAAATCAGGCAAGAAAAAAAGAAGCCCATTTTAGTATGTTAAAAGTTACTTCCATATAACCAAATGCATGGAATGACCTTAAGAGATCAAAACATGGATAAAAATGTAGCTAACGATCTTCACTGACACAGGAAATATACAATATTCCTTTACAACCTCTTGTGAATCCACAGCCTTCAATCCAGCTCACAACGGACGTGTATGTAGCACATGGGGCAACTTCTACTACAAGACGTTTGATGGTGACATCTATCATTTCCCCGGAGTCTGCAACTATATCTTTGCCTCACACTGCAATGCTCCCTTTGAGGACTTCAGCATCCAGATCAGGCGGACAAGTGGGGAAAATGCTACCCGTGAGATCAAAACGGTCACCTTGCAAGTTGTTGGGATGAACATTGAAATGGAAATGGATGGTGTTTCCGTCAATAATGAAAGGTAGAAACCTGCACACCAGAGTTGTTTCCTCAGATTCATTAATAGGTAGTTGGACCTCAACACCTTTATCTATGGGTAGATCCATATGACCATTCCTCTTAGGCTCATGATAAACACTTGCAAAGCCTGCATGGGTCAGGTTTCTGCTGTAAGTTAGTAGAAGGTAGAAGTATAACTTTGGCAAATGCTTTCTCATCTTTTCCCATATCCCTGTGTGTGTCACCTTCCTATCTGGAACCAGCTCCAAATGTGCAGAATTACCTCTTCTAAAACCTTAATAAGGGTATGTAACATGTAAAACAATCTTGTGTTTCTAAGGCTGCGGTCACACGGAACATTAGCCACGCAAGAGAGACAGAAGACAGGCGGATTTTCCGGGTGCGATCTCACCGGCACATCTGGGAAGCGTAGCGCTTCCGTGACACAACCGAGGCTTCCCGCCGAAAACACGCGGCAAAAAACTAGTACCTCGGAGGTACTAGTTTCCGGAAACCGCGGGGCAAGGGCGGGCGTCTGATCGCATTTCCGGTGGCATCCGGCGCCCGCCCATGTCCCCTTGCGAGAAAGGGTTTCCCCCCCAAGTCTCCGTGGATGCGCACATGCACCCAACGGAGCATGCGCATTTGTCGTGTACACAAAAAACGGAAACCAGTTTGCCGCACCGCACGCTTCTTCGTTGCGCGCAGGCATGTCCTGTGATCGGCACCTCTACCTACCCACGGAACCTCCACGGTACCTCCACAGGACCTCCACAGGAGGTCTGATTGCTTAACCGCGCGTTAGTTTGCCCCGGGGCAAACAGCCACGCTTCCCCCCCGCAGTTTCCTGCCCGTGTGATTGGAACCTTAGATTATCTTCTTTGCCCTTTTTTTCTACCAATAGTGTCATGGTGTAAGGCCCACTACAAAGCAAATAATAGAAGACATACCATAATCTATAGGTGCAAACTGAAGACCCACGAGAAATTATAAAGGGGGGAGGGTTGGAAATGCCATCCCCTCCAAATCTTCCCCACCAGGAATCTCAGAGCGCTCAGTAGCTTGAATAGAGTGTTTTTTCTTTCCCTCTCCTTCATTCCCCTTTGAGTGACACTCTGCTGCTCTCAATACTCCATCCTTTCTGGAGCATATGGGGCCATTTAAAAAAAATATTTCTATTTTGGCTAGAATACACAGTCCTATGTTTCTGAGTCCATGGGGTTTCCTTGGCAAAGATACTGGAGTGGGTTGCCATTTTCTTCTCCAGTGGAGTCCCCTGGACTGCAAGGAAATCAAATCAGTCAATCCTAAAAGAAATCAACCCTGACTGTTCCCTGGAAGGCCAGATACTGAAGCTGAAGCTCAAATAGTTTGGAGAAGGGAGCACTCACTGGAGAAGACCCTGATACTGGGAAAGATAGAAGGTCAAAGAAGAAGGGGAGGGCAAAGGATGAGATGATTAGACAGTGGTATCAATGCAACTAACATGAAATTGAGCAAACTCTGGAGGACGTCAGCACAGGAGGGCCTGGTGTGATGTGGTCCATGGGGTCGCAAAGAGTCGGACTCGACTGTGACACTGAACAACAACAACAAATGTTTCTGAGAATCTGGGGCATCCTCTGAGTAAGAAGGGGGCCCTTACCTTAACTATGGGTAGCCCAGGTTTGCTATGTCCCTCGTTCACAGATGGATTTTACTATCAGATATAGCAACTAGATGGGTACCCAGCAGAATTCAAGGGAAGAGGGAACAATTTGGAAATCCCTCCCCCCAATCTCTTCCTTCAGATTCCTACAAGCTTTCAGAGGACTGAGAAGACCAATTCCTCCCCCCCCCCAATTTGACTTCTTGTATCTGAAATTGTAATACATTTACAAGAACAGAGGGTCCTGAAATAAAAGAGTAGGACCTCCTTTAGAAAGACATGGATATTTTGCATTGTTATTGTAAAGATGGAACGTAAGATCCTACAATTCAGTATTCATCCGTTAACGAAATCCCTCTCCATTTTTTAACCGACATTCAACTATTCTCAGCACTCCACTCCTTTGCAGTGTTTTTAGTGCTCAACACGCAGGTTTTTAAAGTTTGTTTTTCTTAATTTATCATTTTGGTTATTTTGGTTAATTCTTGTCATTAATCCTCTTTGGCTAGGGTACCTATTAATCTGGGAGTCGAGTCCCCCATGTCCTGCTGTGCTGCTTTCATCGTCCACATAGGAGCCAGACATTTGACTAATTGATCTGCTGACTGAAATAGCCTGAGACCGATTTCTCACAAGAGCTGCGCCACGGTCACACCCAATGTTCCCTCTAAGCTGTGGAGTATTGTGACCCAAAATTCTACTTTGTGAGCTATTGGCATTAAAGTTGTGAGCCAGCGATTTGGCTACTACATAAGTTAGTTTGCTCTGGAGCCATCCTTCCTGAGCTAAGACACAAATGGGTGAGCCAGAGGCTAAAAAACTTTGAGCTGGCTCACACTAACTCAGCTTAGAGGGAACACTGGTCACGCCTCCCTTTGCCCCACTTCTATTGGTCAATTTCCCACTTGAAGCCACATGGCCACATTTTGACCCGCGGCTTCGCCCAATTTCCCCCGTGGTTTCGTGATCCTCAAAAAACAGGATCACAAAACCGCGGGGAAAATCGGGCAAATCCGCGGGTCAAAATGCGGCCACGTGGCTTCGAGTGGGGAATTGACCGATAGAAGCGGGGCAAAGGGAGGCACGACTGCAGCACAGCTCTTGTGTGAAATCGGTGTGAAAGAATCATGCAAAGAGAGCACCTGACTATCCTGGACTCAGAAGCACAGATGTTTTGCACTCTCTGCCCTTCCCTTTTTGTGTGTGGATGTACCTCAGTATTTCTGGTGCTTTTTTCATCAGGGTTCAGCTGCCTTACAGTGAATCTGGATTCAATATTGAGACAATTGGAAACTATGTGATGGTGTTTGTAAAACAGAGTCTACAGCTCATGTGGAATAAAGACGACAGCCTAATGGTAAGTATAAGTGCTAGAGGTAGGACTGGTATCATTCAGACACAATGCTCTACAAACCTTTGAGATAAAGTGTTCTAATGCTTGCCAGAGTAAAATGTTTGCAACATATTCTTCATAGACTCACATATTGTATACATATTCACCCAGGACATGCACAGTACAGAAACTACCTAAATAACATTGTCTAATTTAAAAGCCTCCATTTGGGTATGAAGGTAAGTGAAAGGAAGGGCTCTGGGTCAACCATGCAGACCTTAACTCAGGTCAATTTGCAAAATTAAGGTCACGTTAAGGTGCTCTCCTTCTGCCACTTACTGGATGTATGTGCATACCCATTTTGTTGCTCTGTTCCCAACCAGTTCTCACTTTTCCAAGAAATCTTTGTAGTCACTGCATACTTAGACCGATTTCTCACTAGCCGCTGCTCTGCCCTTACGTTTCCCTTTGCCCCGATCACATTAGTCAATTTCTCACTAGTTGCTGCACGGCCACCTTTTGCCCCATAGCTTCACCCGATTTTCCCCGCATCTAATCGATCCTCAAGAAACAGGATCGAGTAGACGTGGGGGGAATTGGGCGAAGCTGCGGGGCAAAATGCAGCCGCGCAGCAAGTAATGAGAAATTGACTAATGTGATTGGGGCAAAGGGAAACGCGAGGGCGGAGCAGCTGCTAGTGAGAAATTGGTCTTAAAGACAGCTGCCAAGGTGGGTTCCCATTTGACATCTAATCTCAATTTTTTAAAGTAAAAAAAAAATGATTTCCAAATCCCTTTGCTGGTTATAACTGTTACCTCAATTTTCCTTTCTTAATAAAATTCTACTTTGATAGGCAATAACTTGACCTGTAGATTTTTGGGGGATGGGGCTCCAAATAAAGAGACTGTGTAATGGGAAGAAAGACAGCTGTTACAGATACTGCAATGAAATTTACAATTTAATGAATAGTACAGAGCTTCTGAATCACAAATGAAATCTTGGTTTTCTGTCCACTAAATTTGAATTCGCTTGTTGAAATATTTATAACAATGTTGATGGAGTCTATTTTGGTACATCCAGTGCAGCTGCTTTCAATCACTTTCAATTTAGATCTTGTGCACAGCCTGTCTATTAACTTATATCAACTTTCTCCAATATAATTTCAGCTGGAACTGAACGAAAAATACGCCAACCAGACCTGTGGGCTTTGTGGGGATTTCAATGGCATTAAAACTTACAACGAATTCTATTCAAACAGTAAGTAGCAAAAATATCTGTTTATTACATTTGGGTTTACACACAACCATTCAGTGCGCTGTGGAGCTACAATCTTGCCCAGTTTTGTTTTGTTTTTGCTTTCCCTCCTTTTTGAAATAAAAGAAGTAGCACGTTTGAAGCATTAGCGTTAAAATGCTGGTTTTGCTTCAAGCATGTTATTCATCAGTTTTTCTTTCACCGATTAAACATACAAATGTGAGATGAATTTCAGTCTCCAGGCTGATAATATAGTTCAAATAAACGACAAACAATAATATCGTTTCTGAGATGAGACGATTTTGAGTCGCCTTATACTTTATGGTCTATTTTGCCAGGGTATGCATCTAGGACACCCCCTCCATTCCTGACATTTCTTCATCCTGTTTTAATTTTCTATAGCCCAGATGGTTGATAGGGACTGCCGACAAGGAAGTACCTGCATTTCAACAAGACATTTACTGCATTCCTACTTAATTGCAATGATCAATCGTTCTCTAATTCTGAAATCTAAAGTGCTTCCCTGGTATAAATATTGCAAATTTGACCACCGCAGGTCGAGCTACCTAGTTAATATCTCTAACTATAACAGAAGAGTGTCCTTTACAGCTTTGCAATTCCAAACTATGAAAACAGCCCTTTTGGCTGGCCGTTATTCGCATACTCCAAAAGAGCAATGTCTCTGCCTATGTGGTTTGCCAGAGGTGGAGGACCTTCCTCACTACATGCTCTATTGTCCGCTTTACAGCACTCCAAGAGAGAAATTTTTAGCAGGAATTCTATTAGGTATGCAAGGGCACTCCCAGAAACCGAGAAGATTGTGTTCCTGCTGTCAGATAATGATGCTTATCTATCCCATAGAGTTCCCCTGTTTTGCTTTAGCAGCATCTAAGATTAGATCTAAGGGGCAGGCTACTTGATGGTGATCAAACCTGTTTTATTCTTCTTTTATCATGGACTAGTCGTTAATTTTAACCTGGTCACTAAGATTGTATTTTAAAGGTTTAATGTTTTATGAATGCTCTGCTGCATTTTGTATTTTGTAACGGCCAATGGCTAAACACAATAAATGACTTGACTTGACTTGACTACTTAATTGCAACACCTTACTGAGAGCAGTGAAGCAGCTTTGCAGACATTCCAAGGGCACCAGCTCCCTTCTATGAGAACGCCTGAAAGGGAATGTCCGTAACAGGTATTTCTCCATTAGTCAATCATGCCATATGGTTTTATGTATTACAGATGCCAAGATAACTCCACTGCAGTTTGGAAATATGCAAAAGATGAATGGGCCAACAGAAGACTGTGAAGATCCTACATCATCATCTCTGATAAGCTGTGCTAATGTTTCTGTAAGTATGTTTAAACTCTTTGCATTAATCTCATTTCCAACAGTATTCAGGGCTATTTGGGGGCAGGAATGGACAGGAACGGAGTTCCAGCTGCCCGCCGAGTTGGCCACGCCCAGCAGGAACTAATTAGCATAATAGGCCACACCCAACAGCAGAAACTCATTAGGATTGGCTACATTAGGGGTGTGTGGCCTAACATGCAAAGACGTTCCTGCTACAAAAAAAGCCCTGGGTTTTGACAATAAACAAAGTAAACAGAATAAGAAGCAAAAGGTGGGTGTGGCTGGATGACCACACTTCTGGCAACATGGGGTGTGGCCTAATATGCTAATGAGCTGTGCTGTTAGGGTTTGGCCGAATATGCTAATGAGTTTATGCTTTTGGGTGTGGCCTGTTATGCTAATGAGTTCCTGCTGGGCTTTTTCTACAAAAAGAGCCCTGATATACTTAGAGCTTTTTTTGAGAGAAAGAGAGAGAGAGACAGAGAGAGAGAGAGAATTTCCAACAATCCCCACCCCCAATTTGGGAGAGCCATGAGAAAAGGCACTGGTACTGAATGCTGGCAAATACCATCACACACACACAAAAATCTCTGAGTATGCAGGGCTCTTTTTGTAGCAGATACTCCTTTGCAGATTAGGTGACACACCCCTAATGTAGCCAATCCTCCCAGAGCTTTCAGTAGCTCTTGTAAGAAGAGCTCTGTAAGCTCTTGGGGGATTGGCTACATTAGGGGGTGTGGCCTAATATGCAAATGAGTTCCTGCTACAAAAAGAGCCCTGAAAATAGAATCTTAAGAAAGAGTTGCAAGATAGTGTTGCCAGCTCAGGGTTGGGAAATACCTGGAGATTTTAGGGGTGGAGCCTGGGGAGGGCGGGGTTTGTGGGAGGGGAGGGACTTCAATGGGGTCTACTGCCATAGAATCCACCTTCCAAAGCCGCCATTTTCTCCAGGGCGACTGATCTCTGTTGCCTGGAGGTCACTTGTAATACCGTGTTTCCCCGAAAATAAGACACTGTCTTATAGTTATTATTTCTCAAGAAGACAAACTAGGGCCTATACCACAAATGCATAGAAATCCTGCTAGGGCTTATTTTTGGGGTAGGTCTTATTTTCGGGGAAACAGGGTAGTGGGAGATCTCCATCCCCCACCTGGAGTTTGGCAACCCTAGCCACAGAGGGATATTAGATGGTTAGGACCTTTGGGCAGCGACACGACGTACTATGTTCCTTTGTCACATGACATGACTGCTGATGACATTACCATCCAAAAGGCATTTATCAGCATTACAATATGCTTTCTTGATAGTGCAGAATAGGCTGGCTTAATAAATGTCTTTTTCGTTTTTCCCCGTTCATCTAGAATGTTTGCCAGGAAATACTGACAGGCCCTGCCTTCTCTGATTGCAATGATGTGGTGGAGGTGAATGAATACATCGAATATTGTGGGCAGGACTTGTGTTCCTGTGACCAGAATGCAATGTTCTCCTGTCTCTGCGACACTTTTGCCGAATACTCCCGGCAATGTGCTCATGCCGGTGGGCACCCTGGGAACTGGAGAGCCCCTGATTTATGCCGTAAGTATTTATCTAGTGAAATCCATACATAGTAACATAGAAAAAGGTACTTAGAAGTGTTTGAAGAAAAGAGCGCTTAGTGGTATTTAATCTTTGTTTACTTCAAGGGGACATCTGATACAGTTCCACATGGTATTTAGTAATTAGCCTGGAAGAATATGAATCAGAAGGTGCCCTGAAAAGGAGAGTACACACAGACCGATTTCACACAAGAGCTGTGCCATGGTCACGCCTCCCTTTGCCCTGCTTTTATTGGTCAGTTTCCCACTCGAAGCCATGCAGCCGCATTTTGACCTGCGGCTTTATCCGATTTCCCCCGTGGTTTCATGATCCTGTTTTTTGAGGATCACAAAACCGTGGGGAAAATCGGGCGAAACCAAGGGTCAAAATGTGGCCATGCGGCTTTGAGTGGGAAATTGACCAATAGAAGCAGGGCAAAGGGAGGCACGACCGCGGCGCAGCTCTTGTGTGAAATCGATCACAGTGGGGTGTAGAATTATAAAACTAAGGGTGTAAACTACTAGATTCGTATCAAACTGGAAGGAAGAGACATCATGTTCCGCAGATGTCTGTCCTGGGTCTGGTTGCATTTATCATCTTAATTAATTACTCAGAATTATCCTCATATATTAGAATGTTTTTAGGCACCTTGAGCTCTTGCTTTTTCAGGAGGAAAAGCGGAGTGATTGTGTGTGTGTGTGTATGTGTGTGTGTATAGATAGATATAGATAAAAATAGATAAAAACTAAACAGTCCATAAAGGAGCTGCGGTGGCTTAAGTGGTTAAGATGCTGAACTGCAGGCCGGAAGGTTGGTAGTTCAGCAGTCCGAGACCCGAGTGCCGCATGATGGAGTGAGCTCACGTCTCTGGTTCCAGCTCCTGCCAACCTAGCCGTTTGAAAGCAAGAAACTGCAAGTAGATAAATAGGGACCACTTCGGTGGGAAGGTCACAGCGTTCCGTGCGCCTCAGCGTCTAGTCATGCTGGCCACATGACCACGGAAACTTCTTCGGACAGCGCTGGCTCTTCGGCTTGGAAACGGAGATGAGCACCACAACACTAGAGTCGGATTTGACTGGCTTTCGAGCGCGGGAAACCCTTTACCTTTTTTTTAAACAGTCCATATCGCCAATCTCTGTAGCCATATTACTCCTGTTTTCAATCCACACTGGTTCCCTTCCAATCTACTCTGCTGTTGGGGGCGACTGCCTGCCTGGTTGGAATGGTTTGCATGGCCAGAAAAATGACATCAGTGCAGAGAGTCTATCTCATTTCTGCTTCCGAGGGGACTTCCTTCCTACAGTTGCCAGGTCTCAGGCTTTTGGCCTTCTGATTTCAGAGGGTGTTTTCAGAGCCTCACAGTTAAGGGTAAAGGTAAAGGTTTCCCTTGCTCGAAGGCCAGTCGAGTCCGACTCTAGGGTTGCGGTGCTCATCTCCGTTTCCAAGCCGAAGAGCCAGCGCTGTCCGAAGACGTTTCCATGGTCATGTGGCCGGCGTGACTAAACACCAAGGCGCGCGGAACGCTGTGACCTTCCCACCGAAGTGGTCCCTATTTATCTACTTGCGATTTCTTGCTTTCGAACTGCTAGGTTGGCAGGAGCTGGAACTAGAGACGGGAGCTCACTCCGTCATGCGGCAACTCGGGTCTCGAACTGCTGAACTTCCGACCTTCCACAGCATGCAGTTCAGCGTCTTAACCACTTGAGCCACCGCAGCTCCTCACAGTTAGCAAGCTGTAATTTCAGGGCCGTTA